GCGTGTGAAGAAGCTAACCATAAGAAACTATAGCTCGAGACAACGATTGAAACTCAAGCGAGGGAATGGTTATCTCAAATCAAAGACGCTACTGCCAGAAGAGAGCAGCAAGCTGTGAAGAGCAAATCCCAATTTTCATCTAGATCTAGGAGCGCCAATGATTCTTCACATGTAGCGTTACCGATCTTGGAGAATGGCCAGGGAGTGATGAACGGGGTTTCTACGAGCAGACAACAGCAGGTCTGATATGACCAAAACTTAAGTCATATTCAATTGTCTTGAAGAAAGATTCGCTTCTTGTTACTGCGCGCGAGAACTGTAGTGTATGGATGATTTCAATGCCCAATGCTGTTCACAGGAGTCGTTATCCTTCATCGAAAGTCGTGATCCTAGTATCACAGCCTGATTCAAGTCTTGGCCTGCATTTATTGCAGCTTCCCGATCCGCGCCTACACACCCTTTCCTGCTTCGCAACCAATCATGACCATAAGCTACTTACTCATTAAAACCAGCAGTAATGATGTAGTAAGCTGTCGGCATTGGATCAGGGAGGGGCAGTCGGATGATGCTCGCTCTTCTCAAGTAATTTTGATCACTGTGCTTATCTAGCCTCCTCTTTCCTTATGATCTCTCCTCCGTACCAAATATCTTTTCCATCTTTCCATTCGACCATTGATCTCTTTTCTACATACTCCGCATGAAACTTTCTGAGAACATTTTCGACAACTTCGAATCAGTCGACTTGGTGAGCAATCACTACAAGGAGTACCTCGGCCGACATCTGCCTGGTACATGCTTGTGGGTTTTCGATCATGATTCCTATCGCGAATGGGAAAACGAAAGCGGTAGAGCGCTATGCTTCATCGGACCTCCTGGCGTAGGGAAGTCCATTTTAGCATCTGTCGTGACCGACAGGTTAATGAACGAGGGCTGGATCGTCGCTTCGCTGTTTTGCGAGAAAGAAGACACTCACGCGCCCGAGGTCCTAGCCGCTCAAATACTTCAACGCGTCGCGGAGCAAGTCAATCCCCAAGACCACCAGGCGGTCTTATCTGAGCTTGAACCCCTTCGGCGGGAATACCCAGATGAACCGGGAGGATTCCGAAATCATGCTGATCTCAACGCCATTGTGCGACAAATTTCCCCTCATCTCGACGGCCGCAGGATTGGAATAATCATCGACGCTCTTGATGTTGTCGATAGAAAACGCTTGCAGAGACTTTTGACAGCCTCGAGGATGCTATTAGTGGAATTTGAAGTGAACATCCTCATCACTTCGAGGTACGTCGGCGATTCACTAAGGATCATTCAACCGGCCGCCTCTATCCTCATACGCGCAACCTTCGACGACCTGATGAAGTACGCTACTACTTATCTCTTCGCGTTAAAACGATCCAGAAACCAAAATCGTGAGCTCTTGTGCGAGCGAATTGTTGCAGCTTCTCAGGGCATGTGAGTCAACATCTTGAAGATTGCTTGTGTAGCGTCCTCATGGCATGGCCTGATACTCGCAGATTCTCCTTTACCGTCGGCCTCGTCTTCAAATTATCAACTATTTCAAGCCAAGAAGAGTCATGGCAGGTCCTTGCGTCTTGGGAGGATGGTCGCGATCTAGAATCCGTTGATCGTTTGCTTGATTCGACAATCGGCAAGGGAGATGAGAATTTCTTCAAGGTGATCCACTGGATTACCTACACAACCCAGCAGCTTACGATGCTAGAGCTTCAGCATGCTCTGTCATGTGAAACTGACAGAGAAATACTCCTGCTACTATCGCCAGAACAGGTTTTGGCCCTTGCGGATGGTCTTGTTGAAGTGGATAAGGAGACTGGACTGGTCAGCTTTTTTCATCCAATTGTCGAGAAGTACGTCCGACGACTGCCATCGCCAATGCCGAACGTTGCCTGGTACTTCCATGACATGATTGCCTCCGCTTGTGCTACATACCTGGCACAGGTGGCCCAGAGGAATGAAATCTGTCTAGACGCTCACGCCTTTGAAGAATTGGCGCGCCAAAGGCCCTTTCTGAAGTATGCAGCTCGCAAATGGAGCCTTCACGCAAAGGAGTGCCCTGTGGAGTGTCCTAGCATCAGCCGTATCCTGGATGATCGTCTAGCAGCCAAAGTGTTGAGTCAGACGATTCTTTTTATGGATAAACATGCGCCTGATGTTACAGAAGAGATGGAGGAACTGATTGGCACTTTCAGTCAACTACATATGGCAGCCTATCTTGGACTTGCGGACTTGGTATCTCACCTGGTATCCCGAGGCTTTCCAGTCAATAAAATGGACAGCCACAGACGAACGCCCTTGTTCTGGGCGGCATTATCCAACTCAGAGGGTACCATACAAGTCCTTTGCAAACATGATACGATAACCCTCCCGCTCCTCATTGATCAAGAGCAAACTGTACTCATAACATTACTGGTTAATTTGGGCTATAGGATTAACACGACCAATGCTCTCAGAAGAACCCCGCTACACCTCGCAATTATGACACAACTTCCTGGCGTGATAGCTACACTAATCAGAGCGAAAGCCGATGTCAATATCCGAGATATCAATGGTGTCAGTCCTTTGATGTTGGCACTGCAGCTCAGAGATCGTTCAACAGTTGATCTTCTGCTCACCAATAAGGCTGACGCGAGGGCTTTAGATTTCAACGCATTTCGCCTGATGCTTCTTGCAGAACCGAATGAAACCATTGGAATATTCCAGGACCGAGAAGGAAGCGATTACTGCCTTCGCCGTACCTCAAATCAGGAGACTCTGGAAGCCGTTCGGTCTCGTTTGGGCAGATGTGTGATGTAGGTCTCAATAATCAATACTCTGTGTGGTGCTGACCAAATGCGTAGTCGAACACAAGACACTGGATCGACAAGGCTCCATTTTTCAATCACTAAGGACTGGATAAGAGAGCCATTCACACCCGATTTCTATCTGACGCTAAAAAGTGCCGAAAACTCTACTTCGAATAGAGACGGTGGCAGTTGGAATTACTTTTCACAAATAACAATACCTTGCACATTCGATAGTAACCAGAACTATCAGAAGATAGATGTATGCTGGAAAGTGATATATGCCCCTGACCGAAAGGGAGTACATGGTTGGAAGACAACGGCACATCTTTGCAATCTCCCACACCTCTGGCTTCCTCAAAATGGGTCAGAATTCTTCAAGCACTTTGTTCACTACATTAGAGAGCGATGGATGTCATCATGCTCCGAGGCAATTAGGAGCTTAAATGTACAGGCAAGTTACTCTAGTCACCTAATGATCAACACAAGCCGACTGACTGTCCATGATAGCGACGTGCCAGGGTACTAAGGTCAAAAGGGGGTGAACCGGAGCTTCTTGACACGCTCCTGAACGATGGACAGCGATGGACTTCACAAAGAATGGCGTTGAGGCAGGCTATCTCAAAGGCTCAATCTTTTGCTATATCTTACTGTGAACGACATGATGAGGGCGAATACCTCGAAGAAGTATTGAAAGCCATCGAACAGCTTTCTGCAGAGGCCTGCAACATCCTTGATCAGCTCGATGGTATTTCGAGAGATCTCATTCAACTTGTAAGTTCATGCGCTCTGAGAAGGCCATGAGTTGAAAAGGCGGCGCGGGGAGTTAATGTCAACTGTATAGGAGTTCAATTTGGTCTCAATCAAGGAGGCCAGACAGTCGGTCACCATGTCAGCAAGTATGAAGCGGCTGACTTGGATTACTGTGAGCCATCTGCTCCGTTCTCTACGAGTTATGTAGGATCTCACTAACTGACGGGCAAACCAGTTCATATTTCTTCCACTCACGTTCGTGGCGGTAGGTGAAACCTCTCACACCCTTTGGGTTCCGGCACATTGAGAAACTAACTTCACTCACTAATACAAGACGTGTTTTGGTATGAATATCGACATTCTCGCGTCGAATCCCATCTGGTGGATCTACCTTCCTTTTGCGACGGGAACTGTTGTTCTTACGTCGACAGTCTGGATCATCTTCAAATACAGTAATGTAAGGGGCACTTTCCGATGCATTCCCTCAATCATCCACAAGGATGCTGACATATTCGTAGCTCGAGCAGTTCATCGAGGATACCGTGCGGTCAGTGTTTTCGAGAAAGAAGGGAACTGAGACTTCTCCTGGGTCGACGGTCTGAGCAGTGTAAAGAGAGAGCTACTCGCACCAGTATTCAACGTCCCTCATGGTTACTACGTATATCTTGATGGGTGAAGTAAGAGGTGGAAATAGACCTGTCGCTTGTGCCATACCTGCCAGCCCCCCGGAAACTTGATTTGCCTGACTAACACAAATGAGGAACGCCCCTCTGTCCGGGTATTCCGGATGAAGTGATTGGTTAATCGCATTTCTGGCTTTCATTTGCCGCGCGGACCTTGTCAATCCCGAGGTTCTTGTGTTCCCCCGGCCGGTGCCCGGCTGACAGTTCTGCACTCCTCTCCCGACCTTTCGGCATCGTGGCCCGGCAGTCGTCGCGGAGCACGGAGCACCCGAATGCTTGGCATACGATCGCTCATCGAGTGTCGCTTGACAACAACTGAGCATCACGATCCCTTTTTTAATCATACGAGGCCACAGTGACCCTAATCCACTTCTTCCCAGAGCCTCAAACGCACACCAGCAGATGAAGATATCTTATCATTCGATGTTCCGTGAAATCACAACTCCGGAGCGCTGGCTGAGTTGACTGCCCAAAGGTGGGGGAAGAACACTCTGCCGGGAGCAATCGTTCCGCCCAATTACCGCCACATCTCCCGAGCAGCCCCTCCAAATTGCGGCGACCCCACACTCGAACTGTCAAAAAGCGGGCCCTTCTCTCCACGCACCGGGTGCTGCTGCTGCATGCCCCTCGTCGTGTTGTCCGGGGTTCGGAGACGAGGGGCAGGAGCTGTAAGGTACACCAAACTTGCCTACTCTTTTTCTTAAATCTTTCGTCACCTCAATTTCCTCCCATCTTTCCCACACCTCCCCCTCCCCTTTCACATGATTCTGTCTTGTCGTTTCTCGTAAAGAGTACTCCCCTTACCCAGTCATCGTGACGCTTTTGCCAATTGGAGCTCGACATCCCTGGAGCTTCCTCTTAACCTCGGCGAAACTCACCCGACGTGCCATACTTCCCTCGCTCCTAAATTCTCCGAACATCGCGAAACCTCTTCTCGTGAAAGCTTCATCTTTCATCCGCCTCTCCAGTCCATGCTCTCGCGATCGTCCCGTCTCCTCTCAGCCTTCCAAGCCAAGAGCTCACCTACCAGGCTCTTCTCAACAACCGCAAAGATGCCCGTCCACCACCTCATGATCGGGACCTGGACCCCGCCAGGCGCCATCTTCACTGTCGCTTTCGACGACGAGAAGCTGACCCTCGAGCTCGTAAAGCGCACCGAGATCCCCGAGGACCAGCCGATATCATGGATGACCTTCAGCGTAAGTTCAGATCAGCTTGAGTTCGGATGAGCTTAGTGGCATTCTATCCCATCGTGACCAAGAAACCTGGCTTACACACATATGTACATCACAGCATGACAAGAAGAATCTCTACGGAGCCGCCATGAAGAAGTGGGCAAGCTTCGCAGTCAAGAGCCCTTCAGAAATCGTCCACGAGGCCTCTCACGACATGACCCACGACCGTAAGTTGATTCCCTTAGAGCAGCATGCCCATGTCGCTTTCCCATGGCATATCACGACTACCTGGTCGCTCCCATGAACATCTTCTCGACTAACACCATCCCTCCCAGCCAACGCCGCCCTCTCAACAACAAACACCCGTGCAATCTTCCTCCTCGCGGCCCAAAAGCCCCCTTACGCAGTCTACTGCAATCCCTTCTACAAGCACGCCTCCCACGGCAACATCTTCTCCGTCTCCTCCTCGGGCGCCCTGGAGACAAACGTCCAAAACTACCCCTACGACCCCAACACGGGCATCCACGGCATGGTCTTCGACCCCACAGAAACCTACCTCTACTCCGCCGACCTCACCGCCAACAAACTCTGGGTCCACAAGAAGACCTCTCCCGACAGCCCCGAACTCGAGCTTGTCGGCTCCGTCGACGCCCCGGACCCGGGCGACCACCCCCGCTGGGTCGCCATCCACCCGACGGGACGCTACCTCTACGCCCTCATGGAGGCAGGCAACCGCCTCTGCGAATACGTCGTCGACCCGGCCACCCGCCTCCCCGTCTACACCCACCGCTCCTTCCCGCTCATCCCCCCAGGCATCCCAGGCGCGACTACAAAGATGTACCGCTCCGACGTCTGCACCCTCTCCCACAGCGGCAAGTACCTCTTCGCGACGGCCCGCTCAAACAGCTTCGACGTGACGGGCTACATCGCCGCCTTCAAGCTCGACGACAGCGGCCACATTGAGAGGCAGATCTGCCTGAACCCCACGCCCACGAGCGGCGGTCACAGCAACGCCGTCAGCCCCTGCGACTGGAGCGACGAGTGGATCGCCATCACGGACGACCAGGAGGGCTGGATCGAGATCTACCGGTGGCAGGACGAGTTCCTGGGTCGCGTTGCGCGGTTGCGTATCCCCGAGCCCGGATTCGGAATGAATGCTATTTGGTACGATTGAGGTGAGGTCGGAGGAGTCAAGGTAGCGGGGATAATGGGACAAACACATATAAACAAAAATATAGAAAACAAACAATTCAAACCACATATCACCTTTATCATGTTACGCATTTTAGTGGTTCAAAAATTGACTTGAAGAGCAACAACGGTGGATGAGCGCCGCAACCGCTCAGATTACTATGCGATATCATACAGGGGACAGCACCAACACCTACACAATCTTACTACGCCCAATCTACGACTTGTTTTTCCTCTTCTTCCTCCTATTCTTCTTCTTACTTGCTGCCTGGCTGTTGTTGCTGGTGCTCTGCGCCGTGCTGGACGCACCATCGCCATTCTCCTGCTCCTCCCCTTCTGAATCGTGGCTAGAAGACTGCTTGTTACTCTGGCTGGTAGCCCGCGAGCGGTGTCCGGAAGAGCCCTTGGAACCTCTAGACCCGGCTTCATCGGAATCGGAGCTGGCGGCCTGGATGATAATCTTCCGCACTCCACTGCTAGTCTCGACCACGTTCTCGCTGATGCTACCACTTCGAACAAGGGGTCGGCGCTTGGGGGTGGCAGACCCGTCATCAATGACATCAGTGACGCTCGTCGCACTGCTTGCCCGACCGGGCGAGACGATGATGGTCAAGTCCGTCCGGGCTGCTTCGGGGCTTGCGCTCCGTGTGGCCTTTGGGCTGCCATGCTCAGGGACAGTTGGGGGCAAGTCGACTCCTTCAGGGGCCTTGGCGCCCTCCGCGTCGTGATCGTGAGCGGCACTCGAGAGCCTAACCTGAGTCTCACTCATGCCCGCTCCGCCATAACTCTTGCGAATAGCATGGACGCCACCCTTTCCGGTCAGCTTAGGGCGCATAAGGGGGGTATGCTCGTCCGTGTCATGCTCCAGTCTCTCCTCGCTGATCTCTCCAGCTATAGAGGCAGGGCGAAGATTTGGGGACGGGCTATGGATCTGCGACAAGGGCGCTCCGGTCTGAACGGGCTTGATTTTGACGGTTGTAGACTTGGTGTTCTTCGGGTTCGACGCGCGGTTGGAGGGACCGAGATGCTTGAGGTGTTGCTTAGCCTCGTCAAAGGTGGCCTTCACGGGAACAGCGGACGACGTCATGCGCCCATCAGGTCCGGCCGAGCTTCTCCTCATAAGGAATGTGGTTCTAGGTGCGCTGCTGGAGAGGTTCTCTGGGGCATCGCTGAGCGCACTGATGGAACCATTTCGTTCACGGGGAGGTTGCGCCTCGTCTCCGAATTCGATGAGATCACCGTTCTCAGGGATCGGTCGAGGGGACGGCTGGCCTGTCCTCTTGGTGATTCGGGCCTTCGGGGCAGGGGTCATGCGGCGGATGGCCTTGTGAACATCAATGTAGACGTCGGATTCATCAATGATTTCCCTGTTACGAGTCAGTAATTATTCTGCAGTACAGTCATGGTAAACTTACTCTCCAATAAGTTCCTCAATGACATCCTCGAGGGTGACGACACCAATAGCGCCGTAGTCGGCACCGGGGTACTCGGACACCAGGACCATATGCGACTTGCCCTCCTGGAAGAAGTTGACAATGTCCAAACAGCTCGTCTCAGGGCGGGTCTCGGGAAGCGTCGCCAGTGGGAAATCCTTGACCTGCAGACAGTCTTCAGGGTCGTACGTGATGAGAATCTTGACAAGAAGCATTCCAACGAAATCGGTTGGCTTTCCGGTGGCATGGATGGGAATACGGGAGTAGCCCTCCGAAAGAATCTGGTCCATGGTCTTCTCGTCCAATACAGTATCTTCGGCCATGACAAAGACATCGTCCATTGGGGTCATGACGTTCTCGACGGGCTTGTCCTTGAGGTCCAAGACAGCACTGATGATGGTAACCTCGTCCTGGTTCAAGCGTTCGCCCACCTCGCCAAGGGACTTGTGCAGGGTGACCAACGTCTTGAGGCCACTCTTCTTGTAAACGGTGCCATGGTCCTCGCCCAACGCCCAGTCGAGGAGCTTCGCAGTAGGCCAAGCCACAGGCGCCATAAGCCACATGAGCAAAAGCACAGGCTTGGACATGTAGCCACCGATTTGGAGACCGTATCGAACGCAGATGGATTGAGGTACGACTTCGCCAAAGATGACTGCCAATATGTTAGTAAAGGTCGTTCATCGCCAGGGATATACTCCACCGTACCAATGAGAACAGTACTGCCGACGACGGCCTCAACGCCGCCGCCAAGACAGCGATCCAAAACAACGGGTAGCGATTCGTTGACAATGACGTTGGAGAGAAGTAAGGTAACCAGAACCCAATGCTTGCCCTTCTTCAAAAGGTCGTAGACACGCTTGGCGTTCTTGGATTGCGATTCATCGGGGTCGCCGGCGACAACCTGGAGGTAGATGCTGTCCTGTCCCATCAGGCTAAGTGCCAAGGTCAGCAAACAGGTATAGGAGTTGGTAGGAAATGCGAATAACACAAGAACTTACGCAATGGTCAGACCTGCAAAGGCACCTCCCAGCAAAACGAGAGCAATGGAGGCACCCATGAGGGGCCAGAAAGCATCACCAGCCTCTGGCTCTTCATCGTGATGGCCTCGCGCGTGAATGGGCGCGGCGGCGACGGAAGAAACGCCCAGCGTCAAGGCTTTGGTAAGGCCGAGAACGGCAGTACGGAAGACGCCGAAGCCGCCGGCATTGTTGCCCCGTCGTGTCGGGACGACTCCCCTTGTGGCCATAATACTCGGCTCGTCAATTGAGGAATCGGATGTCGTGAGAGTGTCGTGGAGTAGTAGGTGGGAAAGCAGCGAGGTCAAGCGCACATTTTATGCGGCGGACGCGGGAGACGGGCGAGAAACGGGGCAGAGTCAGGGTGGTAAAGGTGCTGCACTCCACCTCTGTTTACCTGCAGCTGCTGTGCGTACGCAAGTGCACAAGGCGAGCGGCAAGCTCCACCAAACGAGCCAAGATCGGAAGACGAGTGGGTTCTGCTGTGGGTAGCGATGGTTCGAGTGACGGTGCCTTGCAGATGGGTCTTGCAATGGCACTTTGTTGGAGATGTGAGGAGGGCTGCGATAGAGCTATGTCGTAGGAGTTTTTAGGGACGAGAGTTGAGAAAGTCAAAAAATAAAATGAAGGAGAAAAACACACAGATGGTGATCAATAGCTCATGGAGACGGAGAAAGCACAAGGGCGCCGAGAGAGGTGAGAGGTACCCAGAGTTCCTAGCTTTGGGGGGCCGAGGGGCACCTGTCGCCGGAAGCTTTGCTTCTTTCTCGTTGGTGTGCTACCCAGACCAGCCAATCATTTGCTCTCGTGGCGCACAAGCTTGGCGTCATCAACGGTCGGGGGGCGGGTCGTCTACAATGCGAAGACTGAGAGAATGATGCATCATTGCCGCAGAGACCTCAAGAACCTCCGCACTGGCACGCAAATTGTTCAAGTAGACTCTGGGTATTTCATGGGAGACAGCGCTGTCATCGGCACGTACCTCTCTCGAAAGGTCTTTAATTCGGCTATTCGGAATGGGCAAAAGTCTGTGTTGCGCATTTTCCCTCGCAACCTCGTCTCACTCGCCCCGCCTTTTGCCTTTCTTGCCGCGATACTTTTGTCTCGTCATTCCATCAGTGACGCCAGGAATTGTGCAAAATCTGGGGTAAATTATGTAAGACCTGATGAGGGAGCATATCTGTAAGTCGGTCTCCTGAGCAATTGATGCTCTGCCGGTTCGCTGATGTTCCTGAGTGAAGCGCAAGTCAACATCTCGAAGCTTCTTCCGATTGAAGCTCAAAGTCAGGGTCGACCAACTATCCAGGCCTATCCCTATCCGTACCTAGTGTATGCACATGTTCAAAAACTCTGATCGGTGCAATTGAACTATTTTCCTAGCCTGTTCCTTGCCTCCTGTCGACGTTACCTCGCGTCTGGGCACCAACCACTAAGAGCCAAGAGCCATGTATATCACCTCAGTTTTTCGGTCTAGCAATACAAGCAAGCTGCTAAATGCTGTCCCAAGGTACCGTACACACAATACCAACCAGAGCTCGAAAAACACCATGAATAGTATCGTGTCAGGGCCTAGCAAAGCTCAACCTCGAAACACGTCAGTCAATCCTTCTGCTCAACCAGCTCACGCGCAGCTGTACGCTCAGGTTTGCTAGTGCCGAGATCATGACCTCAAGGTTGGTCAGTTCAAGTTGGCAAGGTTGTGCCTTTGCTCTCAGTGCCCACAGACAGACCTTGACGTGACATTGACCCGCTTTCAAGAAAATCCCCACGCCATTTGGGTTGTTTTGTGCATTTACTGGGAAGGCTTGCATAAAACTTCAGATGTGCAGGTAACTTGCCACAGGAGTTGCAACAGCACGAGTGAACGGTCCTTCTTCTCTGCCGATACCCGAACTCTTACAACCAAACGTAAAGGTGTTTATTCAGCTGCCAGTGTCAAAATATGGCAAGAGATCTCGTGCCTCTCGTGCATCCGGTGATATAATTGCCAAACCTTAAAAACTCCAGATTGTCATTGATCTCGTTAGGCACTAAATGTCCGCCCACTAGTGATGCGATAACAATTATGAGTACCCAGTTATTTGCCTCATGTCACCTTCCCCTTGAGCTCTGCTACTCGCCAATAAGATCACAAATGTTGCCAAGCTCCACGAACTCGTGGGGGGCCAGTGGCCACCTTCGCTCTTGCCCACGTCTCGTAGAGAAACGACCATTAATGAAGCACGTGAAGTGGAATCCACTTGGCTTGAATTCGTCATGTATGAACTCCCCGGGAAACCTATTGCGATACCTTGTCCTCACAACCTCACCAAGCTCACGTTCAAGATACCCTCTTCTCGCTGCAAGTCGTCCACCACTTTCCCGCTTATCTCTCCCCTAACGCCCAGTATCATCAATGCCTCATTGCCTCCTTCTGCCCTCCTCTCCTCGCCGTCCAAGCTGGCCACCTGCATAAAGGTGATGTTGATCCCATGCTGGCCCAGCACCATACCGACACCGCCAATCTTGCCCGGCTCGTCATAGTTGTGCAGCACCAACATCGTTCCGTGCGGCTGGAAAGTTGCGCTGAATCGGTCTAGCTTCGAGATGTAGATGCTCTGCCCCGACACGTATCCCTCGATGACCTGCTCGCCATCTGCGCCGTGTGATCGGAGCGTCACCAAGCTGGCATACACTGCGTTCTTCGCTTCTCCGCTGTGCGTCTCGCTGATGATGATGCCTTTCTCCTTAGCCGTCAGGCTGGCATTCACGATGTTGACATCTCGGCCGCCTGAGTCGCTGATGGATGAGACGAGTCCCTTTACCAGCGCGGCGTACAATGGTCGTGTGTTGGAGATGCCCGCCAGGTCGCCCTGATAGATGAGCTCGAATTTCCGGCCACCAATCATACCACCTCGACTACCGACAAAGTGCTGCGTATATAGCCCGCCCATCTTTTCGATAAGACGCACAAACGGTTGCAACTTGCGATACTCCTCCGGCATGATCAATGGTGCATTGACGGCTGCTGTTGGCAATCCACCGCGGAGGATCTCGGCCACCTGCGTACAGACGTCCATCGAAACGTTCTCCTGAGCCTCGACAGTAGAGGCTCCCAGGTGAGGGGTGGCGACCACCTTGGGGTGCCGGGTCAGCTGCGAGGCTGTCGACTCAGCGACTGGTGGCTCTGCCGTGAAGACATCGAGACCAGCTCCGGCGATCCATCCCTCATCCAACGCACGAAGAAGCGCTGCCTCGTTGTATACGCCGCCTCTCGCAACATTGAGGACTCTGGCAGTCTTCTTCATCTGCTGGAATTCTTCTTCTCTCAGCAAGTCGAGTGTACTCGCCATCAGCGGAGTGTGAATGGTCAAGAAGTCTACAATCGGCAACAGACTCTTGAGGTCAGCTACCAGCTCGACGTTGGCTTGACCGGCAATCTCTGCACTGGCATACGGATCGACCGCCTTCACTTTCATGCCGAGGCCTATGGCCATTCGGGCAACCTTCATTCCCACCTTTCCGAGGCCGATGATACCGAGGGTCTTATTGCCAACTTCGACACCAACAAGCTTGCCTCTCTCCCACTTCCCATCCTTCATTGTGGTATCTGCGCGGCCGACATTGCGAGCCGTGGCGAGGAGGAGGGCAATCGTGTGCTCAGCAGCAGCAACGATGTTGCCAGAAGGCGAGTTGACGACAATGATACCCTGATTTGTCGCTGCGTCGACGTCAATGTTGTCCACGCCCACGCCGGCTCGTGCGACAACGCGGAGCTTTCTGCCGGCAGCAAGCACATCCGCATTCACTTTCGTCTCAGACCGTACAATCAGTGCGTGGTAGTTGGGGATCGCTTCGATGAGCTCTTCGGGAGACAACCCCGCGCGGTTGTCAACATCGTATTTGTCTTTCAGCAGGGCAAGGCCATCTGAAGAAACCTTCTCAGGAACAAGGATGCGGAGTCTATCAGACGCGAAGGAGGACACCGTCGACGTGATCTTCTCGATTGCAGAAGGAGCCATGGCGGAGGGACAATATTGAGCAAAGGATGGTTCAATACGGCGCGAACGTTTTGGAAAAGGATGGGAAGCAGCCGACTATTTCAGAAAGCCTGAGGTCGGAGCGAGAGGATCTGGACATAACGAACAAGTACACAAACGCGACGGCCGACAAAGGTTATATACCAACCAAGTATCCCCCGCATTGCATTGTTAGCTACGTCCGATGTCGAAGTCGCCACGACGGGTAGAAGGTTGCACGTTTGGGCCGGCTCTCCAGGAACGACACTCCGAGATAGACGGAAAGCGATATCGCGCCCCTCCACCCTCAAGACAAATTGACTCAGCTAATGGCATGTGCTAAGCTGGATGTCCGATGCGGGATGTGACGCCGCAGGTCAAACAGACGCGGACGCGAGAGACATCCTGCCTATGGCAAAGAGAGGATCTGTTCGAGAGGCCTCAAGATGCGACGGATTAAGGTGCGAGTCCAAGTCGCGGACGAGCGACCCCTCACTTCCCCCACGTTCAGCTAATGCACCGGCGTCCCGCCCCCGCAACTTTACTGGGCGGTTTACATGCTCCGGCCTTTTTCGCTCTGCGACATGTTTGCAGCCATCCATGCTGCTTGGAGCAAGCGCTGCCGACGTATCCTCGATTGGAGGAGCGCTGAGCTTCTAGGCGGACTGCAACCCACACGACGTGGCACAGGGCGGTGATCGTGGGTGCTGTTGCAGGTCCGAGACGAGATCTGCTGGCGCCCTTGCCGTTGGATGGTCCATCAAGGTAGTGGTGAAGCCATCATATTCTCGCAAAAGAACCAGGGAAACCTGGATGGTCTGGAAAAAACCTGTTCATTCCGGAACATCTATTCATTCTGCCAGATTTCGATGCCGGTCGTAAGGGCGGCCTCTAACCCTACAGACATTCACTACATGTCAAACTGCTATTATTGACGGATGACTGACTAGAAACTTACATGATATTCCGCACGCCATCATTCATGTATGTGGGAGAGACAGTGTGTGTGGGCAAGGCTTCTGCTAGTTGAAGCGGTCTTCAGTCGGCTCTACCACGCTCAAGTCCCATGTGCTCGTCTTCCCATTGACCACACCATTTGAGTATGTAGAGGAGTATGTGTCCATATAGTAGTTTGCATGTAAGCCAGCAATGGCCAGATGGCTTCAGCAACCATTTCAATTGCACTTTTCGTCATCCTGCATTTAGGCAGCTACTAGAGCTCGACGGCGGAAGCAGCAAGTCCTCGGCTGCCTACCCTAAGACCTACATGATTCCGACATATTGGAGGTGATGAGAGTGCTAACCCATCGAATTGCAACAGAGTGGCATCAAGGACTTGCCAGTTCTGGATGATTGAACCGAGTCAAACGTCAAATCTTTATCTTATCTTTTACTTCTTCCACGCATCACGTTCTCTCTTCCAGACTCTCTTCACATGGACCTAGCGCAAGAATGCTGCAGGCCAAGGCTTCGCGACGTACTCAGGTAGCTAGATCCTGTACTACAGTGAAGATATGCAGCAGTGAGATTCTGTATAACTGGAAGAAATTGAACATCTCATGAGAGGATGCATTGAATGAAGACTTACCTAGTTAGCTACGAGAACCCAGGAATACATGACTTAGACGCAACCGACTTGCAATGTGTGGGCACCTGCCATTGAACCGCAGGCACCTGCCAAAGCATGTCACCACAGTCTGAGGACCCCACCTCCACTACCGTCATCACTGCCTTAGGCAGGGACGAATTCTACGGTCTCGACCCCAGTTGCCCCTTACCTGGCCGGTATCAGCGCCGCGTGGAGTCTGTAGGCAATTCATAATATTAATCACAGGCCCACGACATTCAAGGTCCAGGTTGTCAACTTTGCGATCCTGCGCTGCATCCCCCTTTCTCCGACTACACCTGCCGCCACGACGAAATAAGAGCCGCCCGTCGAACCATCGCTTCAATTTCCCTCCAGTACCTCCCACCGTCACCTCTCACAAAACGATCAAAGGCCACCATGTCTAGAAGACCGCCCAATCCCGCTGCCGAAAGAGCGGCCCAAAACCAGCAGACCATCAAGAGCCTCTTGAAATTGGAGTGCAACAAAGTATGCTCCGATTGCAAAAAGAACAAGCGTAAGTCCCAGGCAATTCGATTCCTAATTCCATCCTGGACTCCCGCTGACTGTGTCACGATTGCAGACCCGCGATGGGCCAGCTGGAACCTCGGTGTCTTTATCTGCATCCGGTGTTCAGGCATTCACCGTGGCATGGGTACGCACATTAGCAGAGTCAAGTCTGTCGATCTCGATTCCTGGACCGACGAGCAGCTCCGAAGCATCCTCAGCTGGGGTAATGCGCGCGCGAACAAATATTGGGAGGCCAAGCTGGCGCCCGGCCACGTTCCCTCGGAATCCAAGATTGAGAACTTTATCCGCACCAAGTACGAGCTCAAGAGATGGACAATGGACGGCCCCATTCCCGACCCCGCCAGCCTCGACGTAGACGGCGACGACGATGTGCCCTTGAGCCTGGTGAAGGAGAAGCAGAATGTCGAGCGCAGAGAATCGGTTCGCAAGAGTTCGGTCGGCAAGTCCGCCGCGCCCCCCAGAAACGTCGCTGCCCCGCAGCCGCAAATCGACCTTATCGGCGGCGATGATCCCATCCCCAGAGCGAGCACTGCCGGCCCGCAGCCCGGCAAGGTACCCCCGAAATCCGATCCCGCTCCTCCCAAGGCCACGAGCACCAAGGATTCTCTCTTGGGCTTGGACTTCTTTGGCGAGCCCGCCGCCCCCCCTCGGCCAGCCAGCACCAGCAACACCGGAGGAATGGGAGGACCCTCCAGGCCAGATCTCAAGCAATCCATCCTCTCCCTGTACGCCTCTGCCCCGCGACCGCAACCTCAGCAGCAGCAACAAGCGCCCCAGGCTCAAGGCGGCGCATTCGGCGGCATGCCCTCGCCCACCTTTGGTCACCAGCAGCAGCAGTCCTTTGGAGGCATGAACGACGCTTTCAGCAGCCTCAGCTTCTCCAACAACACCACCAGCCCCAAGCCTGCCGCGGCAGACCCATTCGCGAGCCTGTCAAGCCCGGTGAGCAGCACGAGATCACCACCGCCTGCATCGTCATCAAGCGCCTTTGGAGGTCTCAGCGGCGGAAGCTTCTTCGACTCCAAGCCCGCGACGGCACCCGCGCCCGCTGCGCACCAGAAGCAGCCGTCCAACAGCGGCTTCGGCGGATTTGGCTGGTCCAGCTCCCCTGCCCCGGCTGCGGCCCAGCCTAAGCCCGCTCAGCCGACGTCTTCCATGGGAGACCTGTTCGACCTCTCCGCTCCCTCCCAACCCGCCGCCGCCCCGAGCAAACCCTCCCCCGCTCCCGCATCCAGCTCCGTATTCAACCTCTCCCAACCCAAGGCACCTTCTCCCGCTCCCACCCCGGCCGCAACTAGCACAATCAGCTCAGGAAACTGGTCTGGATCCGACGTCTGGGGCTCCAACGCCTGGAGCACCCCCGACACGACCACGGCTGCCGCTGCACCCGCCGCCCCCAAGGCCGCGGAAGCGCCCAAGCCCTCCCTCGGAGGCGACTTTGGCGGATGGGGCTCCTCTGGAGGTCTCTCCTCCAACTCATTCGCCAACACCCCCATTGTCCCCGGAGCCTCTGGCGGCTTCAGCGCCGCACCCAAGGTCGCGGCGGACGAGGAGTTTGGTGGGTGGACGAGCAGCACCGAGCCCGCCGCTGGCTCCGGTTCATCAAAGCCTATCGGAGGCGGCAGTGAGGACCTCTTCTCCAACGTTTGGCAGTAAATGCAGTATATTGCGAGCACATGATGGGCGGTATAGGTCTCTGGGGTAGATAGGACGAGCGGTTTTGCAACCTACCGCAGGGCCTATCATTTGCGTTTTGGCACATAGACACTCGATGAAAAACGTGACGACATGCTTAGGAGGCAGGGCGAAAGAGAGAGAACGAGAGTCTCATGGCATCTGTAATTCGATTGCAAAAGCGTCATAGATGAAGAATTTACCAGAAACTTTGAAGCAAAAGATGGAAACCCTCCAAATTTCATAAACGCAAAATCAAAGTGCACGCCTTGCTCAATCAGTTTGCTGCTAGTGTTGATACAATCAGTCGCCGCCGTGCTACCCCCCAAACTCCGAATCCATGCGCAGGGTATTTGAACATCCACGCCCGTCATATATCTGAATACTCCCGTTATGTTTGTTTCCCATCATGTTTGATGCCGAGGCCCCGAGTCGGGTTGACCTCCCCCTTTACTCCGTTGCTTAAATACGAGAAAAACCCAGTTCTCCCTGGGCGGCCGATATGCTCTGCTCTTTTCCCCCATGCTACGCAGTTCTCTGCCTGCTTGTCGTAAAATATAGTTTGTTTCGCCTGCCTCCTTAGAAGAACAGCTTGGCGATGTAGTAAAGGACGATAAAGATGCCAATGATGATGCCTGACAGCTTGAGGATGGCGACCTTGTTTCCAGAGGCGGCCATGCGGGTTAACCGACCGGCGGAGCCCTTGAGCTGGGTCGACATGGATGAGAAGGTCTCGGACTAGATATAGCCATGATGTCAGTGACCTATCTCAAGAAAAGACCGATGACTTGATGGGCAAAATATGGGCAGGATGGTATGGGTCAGAGTTGCACAAAGTGCTGGTTCTGTCGTCAAACAGCAGGTCTTGAGGCTGCCTCCGAAACACGGACCAATGTTCCTCATCATGTAATACCAGGGGTTTCTTGCCAATGAAATGTTGAAAAAGGGGGTTCAGGAAAGGAAAGCGGAGCGAAAAGAGAAGGCGACGAGGGAACATACCGTGCTGTCAATGACCTCGTGGGCGCGCGCGTTGTCGTAGATGTCGACGGTCACGCCTCTGAGGGCGGAGACCTTTGCTGAGAGCTCATCGAGACGGGCGTTATTTTGGCGTTCGCGCTCGTAGGCTTCTGACATTTTGGCAGGGTTTTCTGTTTCTTCAGGGGAATAGGGGTGACGAGTTTTCTCGATCAGGACTGAAGAGAACTGCCGGTGGCGAAGTAAATCTCAGGATCTAGAAAGTGCGGGCTGTTTTCTGGGTGTCGTTTCTCGCCGCTGAGGCTTATGGCGAGTTGCCGCGCGTGCGAGATCGTCGGTCCCTGTAGGTGGTGTGTGGTTGCAGTCGTTCAAAGACGACAGTGCCACGATCGAACGCCGCGCTTTTCTCGTGGATGCGATGGGCGTCCTCGTAAGCGATGACTTCTTCGTTAGAGGAGGAGAGGAGTTGGATGTGGTGCGCGGTGGTTTGTGGTTGGTAGTTCGTGGTTCGTGAGGTTTAATGATGAAGTTGCAAAAATGGTCGATTCTGGCGGCGAAACCAATGACGGCGGAGGTTTCGGGGGCCGGTGCGTCTTTCCTCACAAAGGCGAGGCTGGAACTGCGCGGATGGAACTGGAGCCGGGTGGGCCACTACCTACCAGTCCCGTCAGCAGCAGGTGGTCACTGCGCGGCCGAGGCGCCCATTGCTGCTGCCCGCTGGTGTGGGCGCGCGCTGCTCGGAACGCCATCCTTGCCGGTGGGGGTTGCGCGTCGGTGGCCTGCGCCACACTGGCACCGAACCCGAACAGAACTTCAGAAGTACCCCGCGAATTACCTCACTCCGTCCAGGTCACGCCTCCTTTGCGCCGCCTCATCAGAGCAGCCAGAGCCCAGCTTACACCAAGCTCCCCCCCGGTTCATGGTCCGTGATTTCTCGAATTTTTGCTCCGGCTATCCCAGCCCGGAGATAATGAAGGGGCATGTCACCTGGCACTCGAGAAGAGGTATTCATGATTTGAAAGCTCCCGCCAGCTGAGATGACGCGCTCGAGTGGATATTGACGAGTTATTGCGCTTCGTTTGTTTGATGAACCTGCGTCGTCCGATACGAGAGTTCGGCTGAAAAGCCATGAAAGCTTAAAAAGAAGCAAGAAGCAGGAAAGAAAACAACAATTGATGCCCATTCTCCTTCCTCCCGGAACACTTTCCATCCGCCAAGCCCAACGGGATTAATAAGATTAACAAGACGTGCCTAGTGTGACTAGGAGAAAAGCAAAGCAAAGCTCACGGCACATAGCAACCGACGAGGATAAGAACTTTAGAAGAGGCGCAGGCCTCTCGGCGGCTCTCATCCTCACCTATCGCGGCACGACCCCACTAAATCGTTAATTACGTGGAGGTGTGGGTGCACGCAGCTACCGTGGACGAGGAAGGATCCCCAAGAAACCGTATCCGTAATACCTACCTGACCTACGGATACCTAATCGCAATCCCAGGCACACGCTTTCACCTTTTCGTGTCTCTCTTTCTTTCCCTCTCTTCACCTCCATTCCTCGACACCTTTTCCACTCCTTCTTCCTCTTCGACCGAATCTTGAGGGAACAACATCCGACTCAATCGTAATTCCTCTCTCTCGACCCCTCGGTACACCGTCAGCATGGGCCTCCACAACCCGCTCCCGTCGTCTATGGCGTGTAAGTCCACCCATTATTTTCTGGCTGGTGCCGGTGATCCCGCTGCACCATCGCACCCGTCATCCTGTTCAGTCGCAACAGATGAGCTGACCAGACCATAACAGCGGAATGCAAAAAGTGCGGCAAGATCCTGACGTCGTTTATCGACCCTCGTCAAGCCTTCAGCCCCGACAAGATTATTCCTCCCTCCGTCCTCGCCAACGCGAAGGTGAGCCATATTTCCCACCCCGCGATCTGCCATCCCCCGCCTGCCTTGGCGCATTCGGTGCCCAGAGGCCTCCCACCGCCCACGACAACACCCGATACGATATTAACAGACAATTCGTGTAATTAGGGTCTTGCGATTCTCACCGTCCTCAAGGCCGGTTTCCTCGGTTCCGGTCGCTTCGGTAGCGGTCTCGTCGTCTCGCGACTTCCTGACGGATCATGGAGTGCGCCAAGCGCTATCGGTACGGCAGGTGCGGGATTTGGTGGACAGATTGGTTTTGAGTTGACCGACTTCGTCTTTATTCTCAACGATGCGAGCGCCGTCAAGACCTTCGCGCAGGCTGGTTCGCTTACGCTTGGTGGAAACGTTTCCATCGCCGCTGGTCCTGTGGGCCGCAACGCCGAGGCCGCCGGCGCCGCTTCCCTGAAGAGTGTTGCCGGCATCTTCTCCTACTCCAAGACCAAGGGTCTTTTCGCTGGTGTTTCGCTGGAGGGTTCCGTTATTATCGAGCGCCGCGACGCCAACGAGAAGCTGTACGGCACCCGCTACACCGCCGCCCAGATCTTGACCGGCAGCGTTCGCTCCCCACCCCAGGCCGCGCCCCTGATGAACATCCTCAACTCCCGCGCCTTCAATGCCGGCCGCACTGGTCAGGCCAACGATTCCATGTACAACGACATTCCCGTTTACGACCAGGGCCAGGGTCAGGATGATTGGAACGGCAACAACAGCCGAGAGTTTGGAAACAACAACCGCAGCAGCGTTTTCGGTGGTGGAGATAGTGGCGCCAGCGAGTTTGGAGGACCCAAGAGATCCAGCACATGGCAGGACGACGTCTATGATAGGCCTGCTGGAGGTGGTTTTGGTGGAGTTTCGCGTTCGAACACTGGAGTCTCACGCTCCAACACATTTGCCTCAAGAGGCAATGACGACTACGTCTACAGAGACAACCCATCGCCCAGCTACGGCCTCAACGACCAGAAGACGGGTCCTCCTGGTAGACCGGCTGCTCCCAAGCCGAACTTCACTGGCAAGGCGGCCATGCTCAAGAAGAACGAGGCTGTTGCGCTTTTCACATTCGATGCCGACCAGCCTGGTGATCTGGGATTTAAGAAGGGCGACGTTATCACGGTGCTGAAGAAGACCGAGAGCGAGACCGACTGGTGGTATGTGAAAGGGCATTCTTTGTTTTACGGGTGTAAGCTGACATTCACGACAGGACCGGCATGATTGGAACGAGACACGGCATCTTCCCCAGCAACTACGTGAAGATGCGTGAGTAAGCTGAATCGACGGCTCGAACGCGAACCTTGTGCAAACCCGAATACCCAAATGCTTTCCATTCAAAGCATGATCGAACCAAAATGCATACCTGATGCAGGTACACAGGGGATAGTGGAGGAGAACAAACGTCACCACAAAGATCCTACTGCTTATTCATGATACTCCGGATGGTCCTTCCCCATCCTGCTTTCCAACGACGTCCTTAATGATAACGACCAAACCTCGTTTTAACAAGTCCTGGCGTTTGGATCAAGGAGGCGCGGAAAGATATTTCTTCTTGTTTAGTTACCTCACAGCATAAACGTCCATCATAGGCCATAGGCTTCAGGAAAACGAAAAGAACATCTCGTCTTATGACATACTTCATCGCACCATTTGTATCCCCGCGTGAGAAATCGTTTAGGTGATGAAGCAGTGGCACAGACGGGGTCTATGGCACAGGCCACATGCGGCCCGGACCGGCTTTGGTTGTGCCTCAAGATTCGGTGCCCTTGGGAGAACCTTCCCCGTCATGGTGCTGTGAAATGAGCCGAGGCTGATCCCCCCCTTTTCCAAATGTATCAAAACAACACAGATCAACAGGTGGGTATCAGAGCCATGATGTCAGGAAAGATCGACGCTTGCCGCTTGCCGACGGGTACGAAGCAGGGGCAACTTGTTTCAGTGGTCCTTGGGACGATCTGGGGAAAGCTTGTCGATGCGGGTTGAAACGTTGTTTCTGGAGCTGGTTTTTGCTGAGTCAGGAAACGTCCAGGAGTGCAACTTCACCTCAAGACGATAATAGGATTGGCTGTAGACGGAATTGTGCCCAATCTCCTCTTGAAGTGTGTAGCAGCCTGGTGATAACTGAGGCACAGTCTGCCGCGTTGGGTCATTAGTAAAATCTGTTGGCCTAGGAAACATACCTTCCGAAGGTCACTTGACCAAGTGGTTTCAATCCTGCCCTGCTTGTGTCCTCGTCCAGGGGTACTGTTCTCGGGAAGACGCGCTTTATATTGACAGTGTCCGTTAGCTTTGACAGTTGCGGATACCTTATCTTAAACATGTAACTAAACAAGCGCCCAGTGGTCCAATTTGCCCGATGCTACTAATAGGATACGACTCCTCAAACTAAAGCATTACGTCTGAGAAGATGATCCGAAAGCCTACGCGGTATATGGTCTGCAATCGATACATATATGGCTTGTCGTAGCACTACATAAGCCCGGAACCTTTCCAGCAATGTGTCATTTTTGAGATCGCTTCTTCAATCTGATTTGCGCGCATAGACGATGCCATTCCAGGTATCAAAAGCTGCCTTGCTGTTAGTGATTACAATGACCGCAAGCGGCATTCTGATGACTCACCATGTTCATTCGTCATCCTCTCTGCCAGGTGAGGTACCTGGCTCGAGGACACCAAGGGAGTCGCCGATAGGGGCCGGGTGTTCACATTGCGAGGAGTGGTACGAGTTCCTAGACCGATCCAGTGCATACGTTGAAGGGGGGGATGACCCAGTGGTGCCGCCGGTTGTGAAAACGGGTGTAGCTCCTAGTCCGCTAGTGGATCGGGAGTGGCCGGCGGTGGTCCGGATAGTAAGGTCCGCATCGGCGACTGGTCGACCCACCCGACGGCCGGTACGTCCGTCACTGATTGCACTGTGGACCGCGGCGATGGTATCGATACCAATGATTCGTGTCGATGCTGACAGAGGCACCTCACCTATCTCAGGCGGAAGCGCAGGCACGTCTCCGTTTGTTTCGAGCTGCTCCCTCTCGGGAACAATGTCGTTAGAGGCCGAATGCGCCCTAGCTTCAGCCATCTTCCTCGAAAGATTCTTGCCGAGGAAGATCTCAACCTCCTGCCAGCCGTATTCCGGGCCAAGCACGGCAACATTGACGTCGACTTCCGGCACGTTAGCCTCGGATACTCGAACTGTGAAGGAGGCGAAGTCTTTGAGCATCATGATACCGAAGGGTGTGTGGAAGAGGCGCCTGTTATGGGTAGGGGACAGAGGCAGCTTGCGGAGTCCAAGGGTAGCTACGGTGCTGGTACTAGCATAAGAGTAGTCGAGACCAGTACTAGCCGCAAGGACCGTCTCAAACACGCCTTGTTCATTCTTTGCTTCCATATTGATGGTCTGCTGGGGAGTCAAGGACTCCAGGTCCAGCATTTGGAGCAAGTGCGACCCTCGCATGCTAATAGACCCAGACCTTGCGGGGATGCTTCCATTTCGGTTAGGTGGTGGTTGGCCTGCCGGGGTTGATGGCGGGCCATGATGACCCTCGTTCAGCTGCTCGTTGTAACTCATAATGGCAATGTTGTTATCCAAGTCTTGTTTCCACACACGATTCAATGAGTGTTCGGTTGTTGCTCGAGGTTCGTGTCTTTGCCCGGGATTTCGGTCAGGCGCGTCTTGGAGTCGCGAGATTTGGGAGTCCAAGCTGGGTGAAAGTCAGAGATCAAGATGCTTTCACGCTGGTGATATCCTACGTACCTAAAAGTATGTGTTTGATATTATTAATAAAATTGTCTTGTTGAAATGAGGTTGTACACAAATGGTGTCTCAAAGGAGCGAATCGAAGCGAAGATTATCAGGTATGGACCAGCAATAAGACCAAGCTCTTAGGAAAGTCGAACTACTTAGGTGGTACACTCTTGATATCGGCAGCCTCCGATAGATATTGAGAGAGCTATAAGCTCGAAGCAATTCCGTTGAACATGATGCGAACCATGAGGATGGCGAACCACCAGCAAGGCGAGCCGCTAGGAAGGCGACCGCAAGGATAGGTTCCAGGCAGTCGTCACGATGGCTAGTGATGTGAGGCTGTCACAGATGGCTGCCAATACACACAGGCAAATGAGGGGTGATGTCTTCAAGGGTCAGGGTATCTTAATGACCAGACACCGGTTCGTTCACACGAATGAACCGCAGCTCTGAATGCAATGCACCGGCTGGAATGGAATTTCCTCGGGCTGTGCATGAGCGATTGTAATTTCGACACCGCTCTATGCAAGGTCTCGGTGAAAGACAGGGTTCACACCGATTCAAGCCGGAGCCCGCAGGATGAAGTGCAATTTTGGTGTGACGACACACGGAGCCATGGTTGGTGTTGCCCACGACAACGCACATCTTGAAGAGGACTACAGAATCGATCCATTCACGTAGCAACACAAGGCGGATTGACGGGCGCAATTGATGTCATCCAAATCCCGTGCCTTGATTCGCGCGCTCTGAGCCTTACCCCTCAACATGCACGCCGAAATGCGTGCCCCGTTTGATAGAAGTACCGCACCTACGGGGGTAAGAATATCCTACCCTCGTCTTTGTGACGCCTCAGACGTCGTTCCGAATCACTACATGCTTCGGCTCGAGAAGGCTTTAATGGGTCATAAGTTGTCGCGGAGGCCGGATGATATCCGGTGCTCGGCTGTAATGACCCTGATGGGTTACGGAGTACATGTCGGATGATGGCTACAGCCCTGAAAAAACTTGGGGGCCATCTCTGTGCCATGATGTGAATGCGAACGGTGTTATGTGCAAAAGATGCATGATATTGATAATGAACTCAATCCTCGGCTTGTGTTGTTTACCTCTGAGGCCCATTATCTCCCCAAAGTCAACTACTAGAGCGTCGAGATATCCGTGAGAACTGGAGAAGCTCCTTGTTTCTATCATTCAAGCCATCTAGAGATCAATTGAATATCTACCCACAGCCCTTGCTCACTGAACGTCTTACTTCGCATCCGCCACCAAACTGTAAGTATCAAGATCCGATCACATCCAGTCAACAGCTTGTTAAGTAAGCGTGTGATGTAGACGGATCACCTCGAATTTTCGCCATCAAGTCCATCGGCACTCAGACTAATGGACCATAGGCTTGGACCTCAGTCAGTCAACGACACACAGTCAAGGGCGTCTAAGTCCGATAGCCACCTACCACGGAATGGCACTTGGCAGTCTGGAACGTCTGGGACGTCCAGAACATCTTCCCAACGCAATGAGTGCTCTTCTCCAGTATCGTTTCCTGGGACAGAACCGACAATTTTGGGAAGTGTCGAATCCCTGGTTCCTGTAGCTGCACGTTCACAGCCTTCCAAAAAGGTATCATTGCCAACATGGCCATCGTCTCCAACAACACTCGGCGCCGGGGATCCAGTAGAACAGCAAAGCAGACCGGCAACTGGAACCGACAAGGCCGAAACCATGATCAGTCCTAGCCAGGAAGACTTCGAGATGGACCCTGGTCATGCCTTCTGGAGCTGGTCTGTCGAGAGTGAGAATTGGTACCATGTCGACAAACACACAGGATCGGTGCTGTGGGCACCACGCGAATTGGACTAGTGTTGGCTCATTTCATGTCGTTTCTTTGATGGAGATTTGAGTCCTCATGTCCTAGCGATGAAGACAATACTGTGTCTCGGTTCCTGTTCCTCTTTTTGGTTTCAGAGACTAGTCATGGAGTACCAGGGGAACCACTGCCACAGATTTCAGCTCCACAGATTGAAAGACTAGTCATCTCTCAAATGTCTCCTGATTAAGGAGCTTTCGCAAACGTGACTGTCGATGTTACCCCTGTATCATGATTGGGAGTCTATTGGGGCATCGTGCACGAGGTAGTCAGATACTACAGCCGGTGATCTACAAGATCTCCTCAGCACTTTTGTGGCTTCGTCAGACAGCCCGGCCATAAGACGTTCATGCGTTGTAACATAGGGGCATTTGGATGGATGAGAACTCATTGCCAACGCGTCGCGATGTCATGAAATCGTGGTGTGGTTAAGGTCAGCCATCGAGGCAATAGCGACGTCAATGGAGGCAAATTACGATGGAATACATCATTGCATAAGATGAATGGCTCTCGAGAGAAAATGAGAGCGTTGAAAGAGCAGGCAAAATCAAGCATTCTATCATGGAGTGAGTCTCGAGCGAAGAAGCATGTATCTAATTAAAAAGATTGTAAGCCGAAAGAAGTCACCATGAACATTACGCCCCCGTTGTGCCTCTGTTCGGGTTAGGTCCCAGTTATTCCCCGAGGTGTGTCTAATCAAGAGAACGCCCGGTTTTAAGTACAAATGTCGCGAAACAAACGCTAGTTCTTATGCGTATCTCTAAGTTGATATTCCCAAGTAAGCATGCCCCTGGCGATTCTAATCCAGCTCTACTGGACAATATATCACTGATTTGGTGTCTTCATCCTGATGAGCCCACTGTTGTATGGCCTCGTCCCACCTCCAGAAATTGTGGGCGGGGTCTTCTTGAAAATCTTTGAAAGAGTCACTGGCTTCCCAACTAAAGCCATCGGGTGAGACCATTTCAAGATCTTCTGCCTCATCACTTCCGTCGCATGGCTGCGATTGACTAGGTTGAGCTTTCTGATCGAGCACAAGGGTTTCCAATCTCATGAGAAGCTGAGTGTCGTCAATCGGATGGCTCGAAGGCCTATTCTTAGAGAAGACCGGGTATGGTCTAGGCAACTGAGTTTGTTGACAGGAGTGAGTAACTAATGGGCTTGCGCCCAGCTGGCAGTCGTAGTCCCTTTGCGAGAGAGACGAAGAGCTGAGATCAGTCTTGCTCTCAGTGCCCGAAAATGTTAGGGAACAGACTTGGTCTTGGGACAAGACACTCTCTTCGGACCCTGACAGCTTGGGTTTGGGGACCCGGTAGGCTTTCCATTGAATCATAGACTCAGGAGGGGTTGGAGGATTCCTTGGTGATTGGGAATGCTTGTGGGCCCCAGTCGTGGAGTGTTTGTGGGTTCCAGTCGGGGGCGAAGGAGGTGGTTGTCCATATTGCGCCTGAGGAGGGCTGATCGGGCGATGAGAGTCGAATGTCAGAAGTTCGACGTCTGCCGCATAATGATACATAGTGATGATCGTTCAGCGTTGATGAGTTATTGAAGAATGGATAAAGAATGAACTAAACATTGGCAGTAGATAGTAGACGATGGAGCTGCCTTGAAGTAGGATGTGTAGGCAAGGAGGCCATTGGTGGAAGGGATGAGGTTGTTGAGATGTTGCTGGACCTCATCGACTTTATGTTGAGAATAAACAGATGAGGAAAATGAAGCTTTAAACGCGGCTGATTTACTCGGCTAGAGTTCTGGGCGCGTAAACGTAGTTTCGGTGAAAGTGAGTGAGGCTGGCATGCAAATGACTTCACGCCTCGGAGACCCCGTGAAAGATGAGTCGTCGCAACCGGCCGATGAGTTACTGGGGACCGGCGGGAGCTGGAAACACGCGGCTGAATACAACGGTAAGTCTGACTCGGCCTGTAGGATCACCATTCCAGGGCGGGCAATTGTAATTGTAATTGGTATAACTATAGCGGGAGGGGTATGACTAGAATTCCACTTGCTAAAGCACTCAAGGACGGGACACTATCAGGTATTTGCATCTACCATTGGGGGGTTGCAGATGACCCCTGCACATGCATATTGCACCGATATCTGGCCTTCAAGTACCTAAGTACAAGGTCAGACATGAATATCTGAAAAGGAGGGCCCAATATGCAACCGCCCGTCTCAGCACATTATTGGGCATCAGCGACTTCCTTCGTACCAGCTACCCGTCCAATACGAGTGAACTTGAGGAGTGCTCCGGGCCCGACGCCGTTTCTGATGCCACAGCGGGCATAGTCCAGACTATTGGAGCATTTCTGGACTGTGAGCTCACGTGCTTTGAGAAGTCCAAGGGCTTGTAATGTAGCCATTGATATTGTACGGATACAGCCTGCTTTGAGGATAGCTTAACCGAGCTAATGTACGACCAGCTTCTCGCCCGGAATCTTTCCCGGCCTCTCATTATCACGCACACCGAACCATCTGCATGTAATAACTGTATGAGCTCAGGGTGTATAGGAATAGCCGTCAAGCGTGTCCCATGAGGAACGCCTTGGGGGCTGGGCAAGGCGACCAAGGCACTATCACGTCGACAGCCTCACTGGACGCCGATGCTTCCGCTTGTTATGGAGCGTCGAATGTGTCTCGTTTTGCAGTTCTATCAATTACATTTCCTGTTGTAAATCCAAAACTCCAATTCCCTCGGGGTGGCGGAGTTTCTTCTCCATGGCCGCTTGGTTGCGTCTTCTCGGCCTGATATTATCGTATACTCTTCCCTGCCCTTCACTGCGGTTTCGTTCTGATCTTACCTTTGACCTCATCTCTCTGTCCATTCACTCGAGGACCCTAAGTATAT